CTTGGGTCCACTGGTATCACACGCGTTATCAAAAAGCACTGCCGGTCATCGTCAAGTAACACACACAACTTCGGGCCTTTCAAAAAGCGCGATTAGGTCAGAAGCTTTACGGTCAAAAAGTCGAACTGCAAGGAAGGCTGTGATGCAGACCGTCAACCTTAAGATGAAGGGATATGCGACTTCCCATCCTATGCAAATGCAATTACACATCTACGCAGCACAAAAGTTACTGGAAGGTACCTACAGTTCACATGGTTGCCAACGGATGACGGAATTATAAAGGGGAATGTGTGTCGTAATCGCAACCGTTGCGACAGATGGTCCGCGCAACAAAAAACGGATACCGAGCTCATTTGCTTGATGAATTTCATGAGTAGCAATCTCGGTTTGCAGAATTCCTTAAATATTATATTTTTCAGAGGCAGTAGTTGGAGTTGCCACAACCGTGAGGAAGATTATTCAGAGCATTGAAGAAAACACGATGTCATAGTTTGCGGCAGGGTTTCGAGCTTTACTAGTGCTATGCTCTTTTCCAAAGGTGAAAACATATCAAAAGGCGACGCTCTAGCATGCACACCAACGTGGGCCAATATCGGGAAAATATCAGTTTTGCAGCCTAGAGTTCGAAAGCGAGGTCAAGGGTGAAAAGATCCCCAATCTCTCTGATTTCTTCGAAAAGTCATGATGTACGATGGGCTGATGAACGTGTTGTCGTTTGTTTCGAATTTTGAGAAACTTGTGGTGAATATCCCTAAAGAAACAGTCCCCATTGGAAAGAGAGAGAAGTGAAACGCTGAAAACAAAAAAAGAAGTTCAAAAACGGATCCTGTCATCTCAAAATTGTTCCAATCAATCATTTTGCATAACTCGCATACACTTGTGACTGTTGATAGTCTACGTAATGCAAATCGGAAAACTTTTTACATTACCATTCACAAAGGAGAAAGAAATATGCAGCGATCGAAAATGAATGCTTCGAAAACGCTACTAAAAAAAGGAGTGAGTTCAAGTTACAGAAGGTGAACTTAAACTGAGTGGAAAGTTGGCGGGAGACATTCTGAATTAGATCTAGAAGGCGTGATACGACATAAAAAGAGTATTCAACCGAACTCACCTGAAGAAACTCTTAAACACCGATTGGCCAAAATTATAATTTATGACCTTTTAATTTTATGATCTGACACGCATAATGAGCACCACCGAGAGAGTTGTTTGGTATATCATGCTCAACACGGCAAAAAGACTGCCCACAAAATTCAGATCTGTAACCATACCTGAATTAAGCGATCCCGTTGGGCTATTTCAGCTTTCAAATTGTTCTGTGTTGCCGTCATCGCTTCAATTGTCCGTTTTAGAAGTTTAACTTCCTGAAAGCACTCGAATTTAATGAAGAATAGAAAATGAGAATTGCCAAAAAAAAGGCATTCAACGAACACTGGTGAGATCGCGACATTCCCTATTAGACTGTTGCAGAAGAACTTCCTTCTCTTCCAGTTCGTCATTCAACAGATCCACCTTAACCATAAGGATAGTTAGTTAATGAATCATTCGAAATTAGAATCAATCACTACCTCATATAACAGCGCAGATTTTTCGTTGTCCAGTTGTGAATAGAGGAACATTGCTCGCTGAAATCGATCCTCCAGTTCGACAACCTTATCCTAAAATGGAAAACATGGGAAAGCCTTCATTTACATCGATTAGGAACCATACTAACAATGAAATGCTGTTAATTGAAAACTCAGGGATCCAAACAACATCACACCAATTACTAGTCGTGCAAGATAGTGTGTTGTTAACAAAACAGTTTTGAAACCGAGTTTCAACCGCTCAACCTTCTATTACTTCAAGCATTTAATTTTGTGATACGTCCGTCTGAGTCTCTTCAACCGCAACTCGGCGATTGTGTCAAGGTGCTGTAAGAAATTAACCAATTACAAAACTAAAATATCGATTGCTCCTCCGGATACAGAATGGCGATGATACCGAAATATCGTCACGCGAGCATCTCTGGTCGAAATCTGATAGAATGATTATCGATGCAGTAGAAATCGCTGTCTTCTATCTCAGATTGATTACTGTGGAAGGGTTTGTGGAAGCACCAAAAAAATGAGTTTTTTCTTTTTAAAAGGAATAATCTTAGCCTGTCAAATTTTACCGTATCAGTAAGAGACAAAACTGATCGACCAATTGATCTCATGGCTACCTCTAAATTGAACATGGGGAACTTCAGAAAATCGCTGAAGTATTTCACTTGAAAATTTCTATTAGTTCACTTAATTATTTGTTAATTTCTTAATGAGTTTGTGTATTATCGCCTTAATACGTCTGGCTCAATACATGTTTGATTTAGTCTGCTCGTTTGGTATAATGAGAAATTGCCGAGATCTTTATCTAACCTATAAAGCGGCCATTTCACTTCCCTAGCTTAGCTGAAAACGGCTCTTATCGCAGTCTATATGTGCCCAGTACAGCAAGAGCGCACCGATCTGCTTTTGCCGAACCTTGATTAGATCTCTTCAACAGAAATATACTAAACGCAGATATTAAACGCAGCTCAATGGAGATGGGCCACGGCTAATTTCTTTTCGTTCCTAGAGCCTATTTGGTTCGAATACGCGAGAATTAGCACAGGAACCCAATCGTAACCCTTACACAATCGTTTGCCGTTTTCACGTCGTTAGCTGTAGAAAAAGTTCGATCGGAGTAGATAATGCATGCACTACTTGAGGCAAGAAAGAAGCTCGTAGAGAATTTGTGCGAGAAAGTCTCCATTTTAAAGCTACCAGATGCGAGCTTCAGACCAACCTCGTAGGACGAAACACGTACTAACTCCATTACCAATCTACCTACACAAAAACGAACAACCTCCTCAAGGGAGGAACTTCTACGAGATCAATGCAAATCTGACAGAGCATGCCCATGAGAATTCCATGTCACATGAATATCTCAGAATCCCATTAAGGAAGATTGATTAAACCGGACACTTTGTGTTACATTGCAAAAATAATGAAGACAAATGCAAAAATTAACACAACAACCATGTATACATAAGAAGTGGTGTGGTGGAGGAAAGACGGAAATCTCCTTCTGCATAACCAAGCGCAATGGTGCGTACAATTCACTTGGTTACGCCTCAGTCCATTACTT